GAGGAGTGGCTGGTGGGTTTGAACCGCCAGCTGTTTGGTTAGCAGGCAAGTGTTTTAGCCACTATGCTACCAGAGCTCCCAGTCTTAGTATAGTGATAGCATATATCTTCATTTGAGTTTCACTTTGAATGTGCGTTCAGAAGCCTGTGCGTTCAGAAGCTGATCTATTAAAAAATAAATATCTGTTTATTAAATATCTATTTAAAAATAAATATCTTGATTTTCTTCCTGAACATCAGTAGTGCAACCTTCTATGACTATGTCTTCTTGAGTGATAGAACTGCATACATTAAACCCAAATGCTTTCTCAGTTTTAGACTTGAATTGAAAGTATCAAATCTCACCATGTGGGCCAGGGCAGCCTCAAGCTTCTATATGAGTAGGGGGTGTTCAAGCCCCTCCTGAGGGTTAGAGGTTAATGAAAGGAAGATCTAGTTGTTTGAAACCATGTACAAAAGTGTGCTTTTTTCTTTACTCAGATGCTCCACATTCTGAGGTGGTATCTCTTTAGAAGTAGATTTCCCCGTCTTCCTTCCAAGGAGTGGCCGGTGGGTTTGAACTGCCAGCCTTCTGGTCAGCAGTCAAATGCTTTAGGCACTATGCCTAAATGAATGCTTTACATTCATTTTAAAAATAATCACCTCATTATTTGCTGTTATTTAAATCAACATTGCCTTTTTTTTTTTCCGACTACATATCATGAGAAATGTAGGTATGTGTTCTATTCCGATGTTTTCTTCTGTACCTGCTTAATATTAGAAAGGGAGCTTTGGTTCAAAAGGGGTGTTTTGTAATTGTCTCTTACTCTTTTGAAACATTTATCCACAAACATTTTTAATGAAATAATATTTTTGAAAGTGCTATGAAATAATTTAGTGCTAAAATATAAATTATATTTGGACTTAAGTTCTGAGTATTTATAATATGTGTCATATGTTGTATACATTTTGATGTTTCAAATAGTATTTGAAATTTAAAAACTCATAACAAATATAACCTGATCTGTCAACATCTGAATGTATGTAACATCTTCTGACTTAGATATTCTAGGGCCTAAGGTGAAGGTGTGTGAAACTCAAAGGTGATTTATAGTAGTTAAAAAGCACTCTTTTGATCTGTCTAATGGGAGCTCTGGTAGCATAGTGGCTAAGGCACTTGACTGCTAACCAGAAGGCTGGCGGTTCAAACCCACCAGCCACTCCTCGGAAGGAAGGT